CATATCTCGCAATCCAGAGATTCGTGATGTCGTGCGTGAAATGCACTGTAGTGCATTCAAAACTCTATTTATTCTGATCCCTGTATCAGTGCTCCATATGCCACATATTTCGTTGTGTTTCTCACTTAGTGGAAAACGGCAAAAATATGTAGGACTATAGGGCAAGTTGGTGCATTGCCACTTACACTCTGTAGCTCATAAAGATACGCACGTGTATTGTGTCGATAAGGATTAGAAGGCCATTCACAACAGACAGGTATCAGCACGTGTTTTTATACGGATGTGTACCATCACTTGTGACTGTCAACGTCCGAAAAAAGCTTTTGCGAAACTTACTTCCTAATCAGTTGCTGTAGCACTTATTGCCTAAGCACAATTGGGAGAAGTTCTCTCCTCATGGCCAAAAGAACGTTGGAAAGTAGGTGGAAGCGTCAAAAACTTGCAGGTGTTTTTCGTTTTTCGTTTTGTCACCTTTTGCCTACAACTCACAAGTAATTCACCATATATAGTAAACTATGTCAGAAACTAACAATTGCTCAGATACTTAGATGCCGTCTCCACTCGTCGTGCAAGCCCCAGCATGTCCATCGAATATGGGTTGTTTAAAGAGCCTTCAAAGTTGCCACTCTCAGGCCACGTATCTGTTGCCCACAGTGTCTAGGAGAACGGTTGAATCGAAGAGGTGACCTCAGAGCTGTGGGCCCCCCAGTTCATCTCTGTGGCCTTCTTCATGGAAAGCTGCCCAAGCTAATCCTCGCCTCCAGTTTAGTTCTTCTTCCAGAGTTCCCATGTCCATCGAGCGCCCAAAGGAGACTCCGCGATTGAGCCTTCTAATACTATTTCCTGATCCTCGCAAAAGGCGTTCTTCGTGAACTGAGTCTTCTTGATTCGCAGTCCTATCCGTTTAACTACTTCATATACTTCTTTCGGCATCTCCTTCTGGCATTTTTCGAGCAAAGAACAACGTCGTCCGCGAAACGAAGGTTCGAGAGGAATCTCCCATACTTTTATACATCTCACGTTCCAATACAATTACTTCATCACCCACTGCAAGGCGGCGGTCAACAGCTTTGCTAATACAATGTCGCCTTGTCGAACTCCTTTCAAATTTGCATGATAAGACGGCTAAGGGGTGCACCGTTTGTGGAGCCAGTAGCAGTCACCCAAAGTCCTCACGTGAGACGGGTCCACTTCTTGGTTGACGAGCGCTAGCAGTATTGCGTTACTTCTACTGCTGTCAAACTTTTTTATAGCCAATGAAGACGACAAGACTAGGCAATACTCGGCAAACCTGATAGGATCCACGCAGCTGAACACTTGCGAAAACCAGCTTGTTCTACAAATGGTGCTTCATGTGCCCTTGATATGCGAGTGAGAATACCGTGAAGTTTCAAAGCACGCTCAGCAAGCATGAATGGTGTTCCAAAGTTCCTCATTACGTGGGCCGCAAGCATCCTAGGTATCTCCCAGCTTCTACAAGTCTGCCAAAACGTCTGATGGAGCCATGGCTTTTTCTCTCGTGATCTTCGTGGTTTGAAGGGTGCGTACTCAGCATGTAGAATCCATGGTGGTATTCTCCACTGGGGCCAGAGGGATTTGACTTGGATGTTGATGAGCAGAAGAGACCGGTCATTCAGTAGTGTAGTCGAGAAAACTCTGC